ACACAGTGATACATGTCTGTACGAAAACCTCCCTCAGCTCTACAGGAGCTGCTCTGGCTCATCAACAGGAAGCACAGAGGACTGAGACTGAGAACAGCTGCAGAGCTGCTACAATCACACTGAACAGAGCTGAGTTTGTACATTATTTATATATGGTGTGTTAGAAATACACAGAAAGGATGTACATGTATAAATGTACAGGTATTTAAGTATTAAGCCCTACAGGCTTTGAAACTGAAATTTCAAATATAATAAATTATGTTACTTAGCATTGTAGCTCATAAATGGCAACAAACATAATATTTCAATATTTTAGCATAACTAGATATCTATATTTATCTTGTGATATGTATTGTTTATGTAAAATTGCAATAGACTGCACATTTTCAGACACTTCACAGACGTGACACTGGGGATCTGGATGTTTTTCTTTCACGTGTTAAGCAACAAATAGAACCACAGCAGACTGCAGTTATTAATATTGACCACAAGAGGGAGACAGGACAGGGCATAGCTGTCAGCTGTAACAGCACAACTTGCCTTGTTTTTCCGTATGCTATTTCATTTTTATTGGATGAAACAGACCAAAGCAATTACCTTGATGGTAAAAATCACTGGGGTTTTGATCATTTAATGCCACCAGAGAACAGCAATACAGTAATTATACAGAACGTTCTGTGGAAAATTCCCAGACTAACATATTATTACACTAATACTTTGATTCCCTCTGTGATAGATTACAACTGCTGCATTCTAATATGAGCTACTACATTTGTGGTGAACGTGTGTATAAACTAACACAAATTGACTATGTTGTATGATAAGAAGTCATCATACATTCTGAATCTGTCTAAACAACACTAATTCTGTATGGAGTGCAGAGGTGTCCCAGACAATGTATTATGGTGTATGTCACATTATTAAAAATGAAATTGATAGAGGAATCAGGGTTAGGAGTTGTTGTCTCAGTCAGAAGGTAGTTGGCTCACATGTACTGTAGTAATTTACCAAAACAATTACCTTAGTTGGCTTATGGTAATCAGCTTGTGGTCCTTTGTAAATATTCCTAAAGTAAACACATCCAATTAACACACAGCGTTTTCTTTTTGCATCAGTTCTGTGGTAACACATTCCTCCCTCAGAGCACACATTACCAGGCAGTGCAGATGCAGATTAAAAATACTCTGCACCTGACAGGTGATTACACGTAATATTGTGCAAAACACATGGCGTGTGCAAAAACCCATACCAGATGCATATATAATTACAGTATAAGTTTCAAGTGAGAGTAAGACTT